CCATTCAAGACTCCAGAAAGTTTTTGTGATGTAACTTATTCCACTTGGAATACCGTAATCAAAATTATAGTCATCTCATCTTCTGAAAGCTCAGGAGATATTTCGGGAGATTGCATGAGCCTCCGAAAGCAACATGACAATATTAATTGTGCTGTGTCTGGGAAAGAAAAAGTTGGTGCAGAGAATATTTCCTGTGTTGGAGACAGACTGAGACAAGATGCAGAGCTGGCGAAAGAGGGGTGTGCCTGCCTTGTGCTTCCTAGCTCCGAAGGTAGAGTTGAAAACCACCCAGATTGGGAAAGCCCATCCAGTCTGGCCTTGCAAGAGTCTTTGGGTTCTTTTGCTTTGCCTCCTTGGCAGGTAAGAGGAGGAGGAGGCAGAGCCAGAATGAGATCCCTGCTCCTTCTGTTGCTGCTTCTGCTGCTCATGATGCCCTTTGGAGTCTGCGGGAACCACAAGGCGAAATGCCCCTTGAATCTGGTCAGGGATGAAATGGATGCTCGCAATTACTACCGGCCTGGACACTTTCTCATCAGTGGGATCATATCTCCAAAACGCTTTCATACAGAAACTCCATACGTCTTTTCTCAGACACCCTTTGCCAGCACTGAAGGGTATGTACTTCACAGTTTCATGGTCCTCCAGTCCTTCTAGTGGTTCCTATTTATCAAGGCAAGAGCCCTTTCTCAGGGTTGGGGAGCCAAGGGCTGATGTTGCAGGACTACCTGCCCTGACCATTGGTCTTGCTGGCTGGGAGTGATGGGAGCTGGGGAGTCCAGTAAAAGATTCCACACAAACCTCTCCTATTTCAATGTTCTCTGGGTCTTCCTTAGTGAAACACTCTCCTACCTTTGATTCTGTGTTGCTTTTAGTAGAATGCAAGGATGCCAATCAATCTGGTCAGGGTTCAAAAGGATGCAATGAATTTTCCCACCTGCAGGATGCCATGAAACTCAGGCAATTACCAAGGTTCAAAGGTTTCATTCAATATTATTCCATTTCGACAATTCATAATCTGTCATTAAGGAATGTTACAGTTTTACAAATGGAATTTTAAGATCCTCTGGGTGACGTTTGGTGGCTGAAGAGCAGGAAAGATGTGCTTTAATTGAAATGATGAATAAAATAATATGAATCAGGAGACTTCCTTTTCGTGGAGTCAGGTCTCTAAAATATGAAAAGGAATTATTCCTTTTTTCACATACACAACTGGCCTCATTTCTAAGTAGTGAGATGTTTGATATTTCTTCACTTGGAATCCATAGGTACCTGTTTCCTATCCCAACCTTATCACAGTTCTATTAACACGATGGAACAGGAGGCCTACAGCTCAACATGGGAAAATCTGTCTGAGCTACATTAAAGGTTTCCTCCTTCTATCCCAGCACTTTTTCCTTTCTGTCACTGTTTTTAAAAAAATTAGAAGAAACTCTTGAAATGATTGTATTTCTATGGGTGAAGAGCAGGAACGATATGCTTCAAATAAAATGATTATATGGAACAACACAGACCAGGGTGTGCCCTCATTGGTTGAGTCACTGATGAAAAACATGTGCAAAATTATAGGTTTTACCACGCACTCAAACCTGAAAGCCACTAGACCTCAATTGTAACTAAAAGGGGACTGAGGTATTTGGTGCTTCCCCTCCTTCAATAAAATTGTCTCTTATCTACCTATAGTCTAGCCCCTTGGAAGAAACCAAAGACCACTGCAGCAAAAGCAGCCCTTGCAGCAACTTCCCAGTATATCACAAATTTTGAGGGGCGCCTTCATTTCTTACTCATAGAACCACAGTAGAATAGAATCATAGATTGCAGAGATGGAAGGAACCCGGAAGAATCTCACCTGAAGCATCCATGACACATGGTCACCTTCGGAGGGAGTCTGTTCCACTGCTGAACAGCTCTGTGTGCTGGTTGCATCAGAGCTCCGGTCATGGAGCAGAGATTTCCAAATTTTTATTTTATGCTGGCCAGGATAAGGTTTGATATTAATGTAAAAGGATAAATAAATACTAATCTTTGTGGATCATATAATGTTTCCTTCCTCCCATTCATATGAATATCAGTTTCACTCTTTTTAAAGAATTCATTTATTGCAGGGAGGCAACTAGGTCCTGCTTTCAAACATTGTCTTTCCGGTTCACCATCCAAGAGATCAACCAGGATCTCAGGCTCTTACCCAACATCACCCTGGGCTACAACCTCTATGAGAACTATTGCGATGCAAGGATGACTTCGGACGCCATGCTAGAGCTGCTTGCAGGCAGTGGATGCAATATTCCCAATTATCACTGTGGAGAACAGAATCACCTGCTGGCTGTTCTTGAAAGCAGCAACACTTTCATCTCAAGAGTGATTTCAGCCTTGTCAGGCATCTACAAAATCCCACAGGTAAGTAGTGGGAGAGCATGGAGGGACAGAGAATTTCAACTGCGTAAAATTCTGCTTTCTCTTTGGATAGGTCAAGCAGGGATATTTTTAAAAATGGGAAAATCCTGAGCTATGGATTCAACATCCCTTTTTCAAAACTAAGCCTTCACCAACTTGACACCTCCAGATGTTTCCGACTAAAACTCCCATCAGCCTCAGTCAGCAGAGATTTAGATATCAGACATTTCAGATGATTAAATACCCGTTATGATGAAACTAAAATAAATTGCTGATCTTTTGCTTTCCTTGCTAGATCAATTATGGCTTCACTGCCCAGGTTCTCGAAGGTAAAACCCTGCTCCCTTTTGTCTACCGGATGAGTCCCAAAGAGGAAAGTCAGTACCAGGGGATTGTTGAATTGCTCCTGCATTTTGGATGGACGTGGATTGGCCTCTTCACTCCAGACAATGACAGTGGAGAAAGATTTGTGAGCGCTGTGAAACCTCTGATGCTCAGCAAAGGGATCTGCATTGCTTTCTCAAAAAGAGTACCAGAAAATGATCTAGATCAATTTATCAGGCCTGGGGAACCTTTTTTCCTATGGAGACAAGTTGGGGTATTTGTTTCCCATATAACCAATGCACTGGTTATCATAATACTCATGGTAATAAACAATATCTTTGAGAAGGAAATAGGGGCGAAAGTCTGGATCACAACAGCTTTGCTAGAAATCAGAATTGGCTTTTACCTCACTCCAAATTTATTCCAGCACCTCCATGGTTCTCTGTCCTTTGCAATTCAGACTAGAATAAGGAGCAGCAAATATAAATCGCCGTCCAATCTTCTTGCAGATTTTTTGGATGAAGCTTTTCAGTGTTCATATTCAAAGCATCTGTTGTCCGTGAAAGGCAGGGTAAGATGCAGAGAGGAGGAGAAACTGGAGCCATTGGCCGAAGAGGAGCATGAGAGTGCCCTGTCTCAAGACAGCTATGGCACTTACATCAATATTCAAGCTGTGGCTCAGGCCTTGCATGCTTCGCTTTCATCGAGATCCCAGAGGAGGCTGATGGGGGAGGAAGGAGAGCAGTGGGGACACGCAAGGCTACAGCCATGGCAGGTATTTCCTTCCCCTTTTTGCAAACTGCAGTCCACACAGATGCTGATCTTGACTGGGGATAGGCCTGTAAGATATCATAGTTACTATTAGTATTAGTAATAGTAGCATACCGCCCAACATTTCTCTGATGCAAATAGAAACATCCCATTCCATACTGATAATCTTTCTGTTTATAGCCAGGGCTTTTTTTCAGGGAGAACTCACTGGAACTCAATTTTGGCACCTCTCTGGTGGGTGCTATTGCCATTATCACAGGGAGGTGAGTTCAGGCACCCTATTCATGGTGAGTTCAGGCACCTGAACTTGTTCATGGTGAGTTCAGGCACCTTATTTTCTAGAAAAATAGCACTGTTTATACCCCACACATCATCTTGGGTTCCCTCAACATTCAGGTCCTCCTCCTCCAACTCAGGTTCCTCCCATTCAGGTCCTCCTCCTCCAACTCAGGTTCCTCCCATTCAGGTCCTCCTCCTCCAACTCAGGTTCCTCCCATTCAGGTCCTCCTCCTCCAACTCAGGTTCCTCCCATTCAGGTCCTCCTCCTCCAACTCAGGTTCCTCCCATTCAGGTCCTCCTCCTCCAACTCAGGTTCCTCCCATTCAGGTCCTCCTCCTCCAACTCAGGTTCCTCCCATTCAGGTCCTCCTCCTCCTACTCAGGTTCCTCCCATTCAGGTCCTCCTCCTCCAACTCAGGTTCCTCCCATTCAGGTCCTCCTCCTCCGACTCAGGTTCCTCCCATTCAGGTCCTCCTCCTCCAACTCAGGTTCCTCCCATTCAGGTCCTCCTCCTCCAACTCAGGTTCCTCCCATTCAGGTCCTCCTCCTCCAACTCAGGTTCCTCCCATTCAGGTCCCCATTATAGAGCAAAGCCAAGATCAAAAGGGCAAGTAAAAATAATTTACAGATCAGCCACTGACAAAGCATTTATATTAATTAGTCAAGATTGCATCCTACTTAAACTTTCATCACTTCAAATTGGTGGAAACTCTCATTCTTATTACGATTCAACTTGTAGCATTCCAATGAAGGGTGCTATATAAATTTAAGCTGGGAGCAGCCTCTGGCTTGACTTATTTCATTATTCTTACTAATATTAATAAGTAATAAAGTATGAATTTGGGGGGAGGGGAATACATTACATTAGTGTCCAGTCATTGCATTTCTATAGGATACTTCATTTCAATCAATCAATCAATCCAATCTTTATTACAGTAGTAGACCAGCATCAGTAGAGTGGGGTACAATCATTTTCAGTCTGTAAAACGTTTCGGAAAGCGAAAAAGTATTTAACACAAAGTATATATAAAAGTCTAAAAGACGCTAAAAGAAGGGTTTGGGGGCATTAAACAGATGTGGAAGAGCATAAAAGGTTAGTATATAAAGACTATGGCCACCAATTTACAGAGCACTCTGATATGAGTGTTCATTAAATCTAGCATAATAATAGTAATGAAAAGGTGTGGCAATGGAGGAGTGCAGGGAAAAGAAAACTCCTGGCACTCATTCTTTCTTGCTACAGAATTAAAAGATTTCTCCGCTTTTCTCCTTCTTTTTCCCTTGGGTGGTGTGTTCAGCGGTCACCCTCAGGGGAAACAGGTCCCCCCCCCTTGGAGGAAATGGACTGATCGGAACCTGGCTGTGACATCAGCTCAAAATCCCAACCTCACTTTGCAGTTGAGGCCAACAGCCTTTTGGTGGTTTGTCTGCAACTGAATCAGAAAAAAACTGTTATTAGACACCGAAAAAGCAAAGTCTGAAGACTGATGTCTGGGGAAATGGTGAGGGGACCAACAGGAAACTGCTAAGGGAGTTTTGAGTCCTTTTATTCTGTTGCAGTTGCAGAGAAAGGAGGGTGGGGGGCCGCCCCAGGTGTCATCACTGAGGGGGGTGGGAAAAGGACATAAAGCCGAGTTTAAAATAAAAATAAAAATTGGGCTCACCAAACCTTTTAGTTGAGTCAAAAAATGCGGCTGGCACTGGGCGCCACACCACGGGGGCTGGCACTTACGGGGGGGGGGCTGCAGAGTGCCTGATCCACGCATCTCTCCTGGGAGTGACGTGGTGGCTTGGGCCCCTGCAGGCTGGGCGCTGCCTGAAACAGAAGCGTGGGGCTTGCGTCTGCCCCCTGCCTCTCCCTCAGCCGCCCTACAGCTGAGGGGGAGGCAGAGGATAGGCTCCAGAAAGCGCCCCCGCCCACAGGACCCCCGCGTTGAACCGGGCACCCGAACGGCTGGCTATGCCGCTGTTCTGTTGTTTGAATTATGGGTGCCTTGAGAGTGAATGTGCTGTGCTTGCTGCCCCACTTGTCCTGATGGACCAGCCCCCCATGGCGCCAGGGCTGTAGGGCTTCCCTGGCTAGCGACTCAATGTGGGCAGGAGAGTCTGCCTTCTGGGTTCCTGCCTGTCTCATTTTGGGCTGCTCTCTTTCTCCTTAATCCCCGCCACCACCTCTGGGGTCCTGTCTCTGCCAGCAGTCAGCCACCGAGGAGGACATTCTCAATGACAAGGATGAGGAAGGAAAAGGCGAGAAGGAGACCGCAAGATGGCTGGATCTCCTCAGCCCTGACTGGGTAGGTGGCCGTGGCCTAAGCGGTGATTGGCAGAAGGGGAGGGGGTCATATCAACCGTAGGATGAGACTGTTGTTTCAGTTATGGGTGCCTTGAGTTTTAATGTTTGGTTGCGTTTTTTAATTGCTCGTTTTTTGCATCTTTTCCTTGCAGGTTCCAAGTATGTCACCATTTTCTAGTGTTTCCTCCCTGTCCTCCCTGGATTCCCTTTGGGACTCCCTCAATGAGGCACGTAGCAGACAGAGCAGGAGAGAAGCCCTGCTGAGCTGGAGAACCCTGAGGCTGGGGAGGAGGAGGAGGCTGCTGGCCGGCCAGCCAGGCCACCTTCTGGACCAGTCTTGAGCAAGGGGGCAGACAGGCAGGGGGCTGCTGGGGGCAGATGGGCTTGCTGCCCCACTTGTCCTGATGGACCAGCCCCCCATGGCGCCAGGGCTGTAGGGCTTCCCTGGCTAGGGGCTCTATGTGGGTTCCTGTCTCATTCTGGGCTGCTCTCTTTCTCCCCTCTCCCCACCACCACTGCCACCACCTCTGGGGTCCTGTCTCTGCCAGCAGTCAGCCTCTGAAGTGGCTCTCAAGGAGGAAGAGCCACAAGAAGAACCAGGGAGCCCCCCAAAGGAGGACGGGGAGGCCCTTTATTTGCCGTGCTCCCGACCTGAAGAACACCTGGAGGCAAGCGTAATCGAGGTCAGACGAAACATACACTCATTCATGACATATGAAAAGCTTCCCTGAACAGGGCTGCCTTCAGATGTCTTCTAAAAGTCAGATATCGACTCAATGTGGGCAGGAGAGTTTGGCTTCTGGGTTCCTGCCTCATTTTGGGCTGCTCTCTTTCTCCCCTCTCCCCCCCCCCCCACCACTGCCACCACTTCTGGGCTGGTTCCTCCATCCTGTCCAGGCCAACAGTCATCCTCTGAGGATGAAATATCCCATGGCAAAGTGACAGAGGAGGAGGGAAGCCAGAGTGGCCAGAGAGACCCTTGTAGTGTCAGGCCGGGTTGCAGAGGGTTCTGGGAAGTCTGTCCCTTCTTCCCAGCACTGCTGACAGGTCTTCTCCCTCTTTAAAGAAAGTTAAATGAAGAATTTTATCAAAGACATACAGTTTTTTAAGAAATACAAACCATCAACGACATTATTATAAACATATATTTCGCGGGGGTCGGGTCCTCGAACCACAAGTTCTTTTAAGAAGGGAAACAGGTAAATGGAGAAGAGGAAACAGAGTTCTGTGGCTCAAACCTCAGCTGTTCTGAACTCAATTTAAAGCACAAGATATTCTGGTCACCCCAATGGTCAGCGGGGGGTTGAAAGGACCCTGATGAGGGGTCAAGGCTGCATTCCAGAGATCATGTTCTGCAGCTAAAGAGAACTGACCGCATTAAGGGAATGGGGAGATGGCAGGCAACTGGGGATCTTGGCTGCTGGAAACGGCAACTGGGATCTCTCAGGATTCCCTGCCAGACAGACCCCTCCCCAACCTTCTATATGATGTGATGTTGAGCTGTGATGATTTCCTGAATGATTCATTGGGGGCCACAACTGCAAATCTTGGGGTAGATCAGGGTTCCCCAAACTTGGGTCCCCAGCTGTCTTTGGACTACAGCTCCCATCATCCTGAGCTGGCAAGACCAGTTGTCAGGGATCACCACCATGCTTTAGAGATCGCGTTGAGTGAATTACATACACACAAATACTCCTAACTCTTTGTTGTACCTTCTTGTCTTTCTGGTTAGGCCGTACCTCGTTCCAGGTGTACAGAAAGATGTCGACCTGGATATGCCAAGGTGGTCCTAGAAGGAAAGCCCTTTTGCTGCTATGCTTGTGCTCGGTGTGCAGAAGGGACCTTCTCCACTCGGGAAGGTGGGTGATTCCAAGGGGGAAGAAATTCCTGGAGAGAGTAAACACAGGGCAGAAATTCAGTCTCACACACTTTTTGTGAGAATTCTGCAGACATAGGGGAATGGGGATCCTTCCTTGACTTCCTTAGTATTAATCACCTTTATTACATCCAGGAAGTGAGTTGATAGGAATGGCCATAAGGAAGAAATATCTGGGGTGCAAACTGGGCAGCTGTGAGAGGAATGCCCGCAAAGCATTCCTTTTTGATTTTTTAGACCAAGCCACACAAAAAGGAAATAATGTTGACACTTATCAAAAATAATGGATAGACGATGAAAAGCAGCAAATTACTAACAGCAAAAGCACAATAAAAATAAATACTTCATGTGAAAATTATTACAATATAATCTATGGACCGTTCTGATCTCACTGCTATGAACATTGCATGGAAGCAATGTGCATTTTAAAGGTTCAGGCAAAGAGGAATAGTCAGGATCCAAACAATGCAGTTAACAGAAGTGGAGTGGTCACTGCCTCTCAGTTGATCCTAGATCACCATGTTAATAGAGCACAGATCATTAGGGATGTAAGTGATGCTACAGCTATTCTTTTTCTCTTCCCCAGATGCAGAACATTGCACCAAATGCTCAGAAGATCACCATTCAAACAAGGACAGAGATCAATGTGTCCCCAAGATTACCATTTTCCTGACTTATGGAGAATATTTGGGAATTGTTTTAGCTTCCGTTGCCCTCTTCTTGTCCTTAACAGCAGGCATTGTGTTGGGAATCTTCATTAAATGCAAGGAAACTCCCATAGTCAAAGCCAACAACCGGGACCTCTCCTACATCCTGCTCGTCTCCCTCCTGCTTTCCTTTCTGTCCTCCTTCCTCTTCATCGGGCGCCCAAGGAAAGAGACCTGCCTTCTCCGACAAACGGCCTTCAGCATCATCTTCTCAGCTGCTGTTTCTTCTGTCTTGGCAAAGACCATCACGGTGGTGCTGGCCTTCCTGGCCACAAAGCCCGGGAACAGGGTGAGGAGATGGCTGGGCAAGAGTCTGGCCAACTCCATTGTCATCTCCTGTTCTGGGGGGCAAGTTCTCATCTGCACCATCTGGCTGGGCTCTTCTCCCCCATTCCCAGAGTCCGACATGCACTCCCAGGTGGAAGAGATCATCCTGCAATGCAACGAAGGGTCTGTGGCCATGTTCTACGTTGCCCTCGGCTACCTGGGCTTCTTGGCTGCCACCTGCTTCACGGTGGCTTTCCTAGCCAGGAAGCTGCCTGGCTCCTTCAACGAAGCCAAGCTGATCACCTTCAGCATGCTGGTCTTCTGCAGTGTTTGGGTGTCTTTTGTGCCCACCTACCTGAGCACCAAGGGCAAGTACATGGTGGCCGTGCAGATCTTCTCTATGTTGGCCTCCAGTGCTGGGCTTCTGGGCTGCATCTTCCTTCCCAAGTGCTACATTATTGTGCTGAGGCCTGATCTGAACACAAAGGAGCACCTGACAACAAGGAATTAAGGGAACACCTGATTCTTAAAATAGTCCATGTTCATGATGTCTAGAAGTGCATAAAGGAAATACAGCTACTCCTCCATGTTGCTCATTCTCCATCTCTGACAGAGATTATGTTCACTCTTAGCCCTGGTTTTAGGAAGTCCTGTTGACATGAGCAGTAAGATGGGAGGAAATGTTTTGCTACCTTGCTTTGCCAAGGACTACAATGAGTCCTGGTCTACTGCCCTTAGTTTGTAAACTATTATCTTTTAATAATTTTGTGTTTGGGGAACTTACATTTATCTCACAACAAGATAGGCTGGAGGGAGAGAGGAGTTAGGTTTCTGAGTCTGTTTGCTTTGTCATGACTACCTATTAACCATATCAAGTCTAATATTCAACAATACTGTTTGGTTATGCCAGTTCTATGTATACAGTTTTCAATGTTCCATTCCCCGCATTTATGCGCTATCATTCATAAGCTCACTTCACATCATTTCGTTCTCCTATGCTTTGTATATCAATAAACTGAGAAATTCATTTGAGACATCTTCCGTAGTCTGTTGGTTTAATTTCTGTATTGTGTAAGCTCTGCTCCCTGACCTT